TGCCTCCCACCTCCCTTGAGTTTTGAACATCCAAGTTTCAGGGTATACTGTTGAAATAGTAAACAGAGCTAGTATGTTTTCAGATTGAAAAGGGGTTTTGTCCATGTCTTCCTGTCAAGATCTGAATCCAGTTAACCCAAAAAAACCTGTTCCCGCTCTCAACATCTCAACGGTAGCTGTCACGAGACACCCACTGAAGTTCCTTGAGGCAGAATTCATTTTAACTGGATCACCTACTAGCAATAAACAATGATTCTTTAGCTACAGCAAACTTCCATGTAAATGAGAGATAACTACTCGTTCCCCTTGACTAAAACACCTGATAAATTTGGACACACTTTCAGCCCCTCTACTGCGGTCCTCTCCTTTAGCTTAGAGAACTTAAGTTTAGATTTATCATCACTATTCCTGCTTTTTACTTACATGTGCCTTGCTTTAGAAAACGATCTTGTTTAATCCAATACTCTGAAAGCAAAATTAGTTTTTCCTGATTTATGTAAACAGCAGCCTATGAGAACACATGGAATGTTTCACAAAAATCTTTTTTTATCAGCCCATTAACCTATTTACAAGGGTAAAGTGAGTATTTTTTAAGGGATAAACTTTGCCCGCCCTTACACTTAATTTAAATGATGTTGCTAAGAGGTATTAACTGAGAATAAGATTAAAATATGTATATAACAAAACCTTAAAATCTTAAGTGAAAGCCATTTAACTAATATTTAAAACCTCTGCAATTATTAGTTTATTAGTATCATCCAGGACTCAGATGTTCAGTATTCCTCCTGAAATTACATAAAACAAATGCAAATGGAAAGAATCCAAGTCAAAATTATATAACAAAACAGCACTCCATCACAAAAGCGTGTAAAATTACAAGAACGCTATTTTAAAACACTGGCACTTTAAGAGAACGATAATCTCAAAAACCACAAAATTGCCAAATTGTTCCCTAAACTGTTAAGCAGATAAACATATGACCCTGATGAATGAGCTTGAGTTTTGTAGAGAAAAATCAAATTCAAATAAATCAGGTAATTCACACTGAAATACAAAGCTTGTCTTCCTCCCTCATGTCTACTTCGTTTATAAAGGGGCAAACCATAATATAGGAAAATATACCCAATTTAAAATGTGGTATACAATTTTAAAAGTTGGCCCATTAAAAATACCTTTAATGGAGGATCTCAAGTTTCCTAAACAATCCATATTTAGATAAATAGGAGAAGACATTTACAGCCAGCACTTTTTCTCCAGAGCCTTTGTTGGGACTAATTATCAACAACAACAACAAAACATAATATGGCAGTCTTGTATTTTAAGCTCACGCTTTTGGGGATACATTCTCAGTCTTAAACGTGGGAACTGCAAATATAACTGCCATTACATGGTAATGGGAGTTAAAGGATGTAGAGTCCTCATGTAAAGATCAGAACATACTTTTCTATTAGTCCTTCAAGGACAGACTTTCAAAATGTTTGATTCTAATAATCCCGTGCTGTGAGTAGATTGGTTACTCTTCACTTTGTAAATGAACCTGGGCTATGTGAAATCTGATATCAACCGATCAAGATTTGAGTTTCAGTTATGGATGAAAACTGTCTCAATTAAACTTTTATTACCCTCATCATGAGTATGCAGGGTGTGTACACAAAAGCTTTTTATCAGCTAACTATACGAAAGATAAACACTGTAATAATTCGTGTGATCCAAAATGGGCAAAAGCAAAAGACTAGCTTCCCCTTAGGAAGAAAATTTTCAGACCTATGAAAAGGACAACAATACTAATAAAAAAAATTGTATTTACTTAGAAGCATTCAGAATGTCAACAAAACAGCTGCAACTTTTCTTTTTTTTTGCAATTACAGAGTGGTATTCAGTTAACAGAACAACAATTATTTCGTATAAGCTGCATCAGAGACAACTGAAGATGAAAAAACTACCATCCCCATATATAACTAATTTGTGCTGTGCACCAACAAGAACCTGCTTTAAATTTCCATGCCAATTTACAACCCCCATACTGTACCAGGCAAGGTTAGTGGCTATTGAAAATACCACCAGGACAGGGCTATCTAAAGACACATTCGGTAGTGTGTTAACTATACAAAAAAAGACACTGTACAGTTTAAAAACAAATCTTACACAGCCTTACATTTCAATTTTTTTCTTTAAAAGGAGTGAGTTGTGTACAGGGGGGTTAAATGCTTTATAGACAAGAAAAAAAAAACTGCGCTAGAACCAACTTATTCATCATCATCATCTTCTTCTTCCTCTTCATCCTCTTCATCCTCCTCCTCCTCCTCATCCTCTTCATCTTCCTCATCTTCCTCCTCTTCCTTCTTTTTCTTGCTTTTTTCAGCCTTGACGACTCCCTTTTTTGCTGCATCAGGCTTCCCTTTAGCTCGGTATGCAGCAATATCCTTCCAAAATAAAGGCAGCAAGAAAGTGGTTGGAAAGACAAAACAGTTAAGGAGAGAAATAAAAGTAACATGGCAAAACTTTATGAAAAAACAAGGACTCAGATACACTAAAATAACACATTATCTGCACTCACATCTGTGGACTTTCAGAAACACACGTAAAAATATTATAATTGTAAATAATCCGTAACTCATGGAATGACACGGTTTGACATTAGCATTGTTATGCCTCACTAAAGTACAACCATGTACCACATCCTAAGTTCAGTTTATTAAAACTAGAATGTAGAGACTGATTAAAGGGTAGACACTGCCACCTTCTGAATGCAAAAACGCATTCTACAGGTTTATACTGTCAGACCCTAATCCATAGTAGAAAATCTTGTCTTAAAAAAAAAAAAGTTATTTGCCACTAAGCATGCAATTAGGTTAAGAAACATCTAGAAATAGATACATTTCTCGAAAATGACTAAATAAGATAAACTCTAACTTTACTTTTAATATTTCAACTCAAAGTATAGAGGCTACAGCTTTTTCTTATTTTATTATATCAATTTACTATACAGATCAACAAACTCATAACTTTCTAAGTTTTTTTTTTTTTAAATCTTAAGGGAGGGAAAACATAAATGTTTCAGGGTGTTTATGAACAATACAGGTTACGTTACTTGGTCCAGCCTATTTTTATGTTGTGTGCCTGATCATTTAAAATACTTAAATCATTTGACTCAAAGTGACTACCAAAATCTTCATAAATCTGGATACCGGAGAATAACAAAACCACCCGAGTCAAATAACGTTAAGTCAAACAACACTAACAATTTATTTGATCTTCTACGTTCTTTAAAACATGGAAAGGGACTTAAGAGTACAGCCAATGGCATGCTGAATAGCTGTTATACTTAAAACTGCATTACACCTCCAACTCTTAGGCATCATAGTAGGAGATTAAGATGCAGGACCAAGGACAGTCATCCATCTAACACCTGGCACACCCTTTCACCGCTACACCAAGCCAATCCATACTTACCTTTTCGTACTTTTCCTTCAGTTTAGCAGCCTTCTTCTCATAAGGCTGCTTGTCATCTGCAGCAGTGTTATTCCACATCTCTCCCAGTTTCTTTGCAACATCACCAATGGATAGGCCAGGATGTTCTCCTTTGATTTTTGGACGATACTCAGAACAAAACAAGAAAAAGGCCGAACTAAAAAGAGAGATTTAATTTTAGAATTGTAGGTTTACCAACAACTGTGTTGTATTGCTGTATAAAAGCTGCTTCTAATTTCTACCACATATTTCACAGGATATAAATATTATGAAACGCTAAATATCCCTCATTAAACTTAATTTACACAACGATCTAACTTATGACACCACTAGCTGAACATACACTATTTATTAGCGTTCCCAAAGAACATTCTGCAAATTACTCTCAGACTGATGGTACTTCTCAGGAAAGAAAAGAATTAAAATTACACTTAGGAGATATATTGGGTGAAGGAGGCCAGAATCCAATTCCACTGCTCTAACTAAAACTGCCATCCAACAGGAATTTTATTTACAAAATTTAAACATACCAATGTGAGTTAGCGAAGAAACTTTGATTACGGACTCCACAAGGTGGCTTGCTAAATTTGTCTGATTCTACTGCAAAACACTCCTTGAAAATAAAAACGGGCAAGATACTTACGGAGGCCTCTTGGGTGCATTGGGATCCTTGAACTTCTTTTTTGTCTCCCCTTTAGGAGGGATATAAGTTTTCATTTCTCTTTCATAACGGGC